TGTGTGTGTGTGTGTGTGTGTGATTGTGTGTCATGTATGAGCAATTGTATGCATAAACTAAGCCCCTCCCCCCCCCCTTTTTTTTTTCCACGTCCCACAACACGCCTTCCCCCCCCCCTCTTCGTCCGGCACCTGAGCGATTGCGTGTGCAGATGCCTCGACTGTCTTCATCATCTCCACCGTCTGCGCCGCTCGCTGTTCCCGCTCCCGCTGCATCTGCACAACCGATCGCCGGGCGATGAACCCGCGCGCAACTGGACGCAGCCGGGTCGTCGTCGTCGTCGTGGTGGTGAGGGCCTTTTGGAACATGGCAAATGCCACGACATGGAAAACAATAGCCAAGCGGGCACACGCACACGCACACGCACACGCACACGCACACGCACATGTCCACGCACACGCTCACACACACACACACACAACCTCCCGCGTGCACTGCAACGCGTCGCTGTCGCGGACGAAGGTCACACCTTTCTGGAAGGTAACGGCGAGCTGCTTGAAGCGGGTGACTTTGACCTCCAGCGTCTCTGCATCGTAGTACTTGAGAAACACTTTGGTGCGGCTAAAGGGCAGCAGCAGCAGCAGCAGCAGCAGCAGCAGCAGCAACAGCGGTGGTCAGGGAGGGCAGAGGACACACGGAGGCACTTGTCACACCAGTGCATATCATCAACCCCAAAACACACATCGAATGCCGACAAGCACAACGAAAACAACAACGAGAGGGGGGTGGGCGCACAAACACCCGTGCACACAGACATGCAACAACACGGCCCCACACCAAAACACACATATTCGACACGACGCAACGTAAACAACACGACACCCCAACATGGGGCAATGCCACTGCTGCTGCGTACCCGAGCTTAAAGTCTCTGATTCCGGCCGTGTCAAGAACACGCTGGCAGCTGAATGCGCCAGGCTCAATTGTCGTGTCGGGACTGTACGCAATCACCTTGTATCTGCAGGCATCCGGCAACACAGACAACGTGTCATGTAAACTTGTGGTCTTGTGTGTGTGTGTGTGTGTGTGTGTGTGTGTGTGTGTGTGTGTGTGTGTGTGTGTGTGTGTGTGGATGTGTGTACGCACGCGCGTTGAGCCATGTTGTCGACGAGGAGAAGAAGCGAGTTGCGAAACTGGGCACTGACGGTGAGAGCGCGCTTGTTTGTCGTGTTACTCAACTGCGTGATGTGTGTGTGTGACGTGCATGTGTGAGCAGGAGTGGAGGGTGAGTATTGTCGCGTGAAAGAGGGCGGGGGGGCAGGTGTCGGCGTCAACCCAATACACCAGCCACACAAGGTGGCAGTGATTTCTGCGCACAAGCACAAGCACAAGCACACGACCAAACGCACACAACACAGGTGAATTGACACAAACGAGCAGACACACACACACACACACATCCACACAAAGGTCCACGCATGATGCTCGCGTCCCACCGTTGCTTTGTTCTTGCGCTTGCCGACGTTGCTGGACCACCGCGCCCGGCTGGGAATGATCTGAAATGGCGAAGTGGACATGGGCACAGCGCGTCAGCATGCATTTGTGCACTCGGTTTGTGTGTGTGTGTGTGTGTGTGTGTGTGCATGTGTGTGTGTGTGCATGTGTGCTTGTTTGACCTTGTTGGTGCTTGTTTGACCTTGTTTGACTGTGCGTGTGATGCTTTCCCCTCCCCTTCGGCCTGCTTGCATCAGCACCACCGCAACGCGCTCACCTGTCCCGTGCTTGAGATTGAGGCCTGGAACGATTCGGCGACAACAGAGACGCTGCTGTCCGCAAACAGGTGCACAACGTCCGGAGCAAGGCTGTGGGCGGATGTGGTTGAAACACAAGAGGAAGGGGCGGGCATGATGTTACATGGGAAACATTGACGAGTAGCGAGACGTGTGAACGAGTGGTGGTGGTTGTCGTCGTCATGAGGAGAACGCGTTGCTGGAGAGGAGGCAATGGCTGGCAGACAGCGCTGCGGCCCATGTTCCATCACGCAGTCAGTGTACCAGCTGATACTGACACGCGAGGAGGTATCAATGCCCGCGATGCTTTCGACGCACCATCGCATTATCACAGCACCAGCCACCACATCTTCACGCATCACTACGACAGCAGCCGTTATCGCTGCGTTGCCTGCGCACCTGTCTCTGTTCTTGTCGAGGAAGCCGATGCCATCGTACATGACGGTGCCCGCGTAGTGCTTGATGTGGAACTCACACGCATCACCTGGGGAACGCAATGCAAAGGACACGAGACGCGACAGACACGGCCGCGTGAGAACTATGGGATGCATCAACCCAACACAACACAACACAACACGCACATGTGTGTGCGTGTACTTGATCCTCGAGTGATCGGAGCATCGCAGCCAACCGCGCATGGCAAAGCAGCGTGACGATGAGGTCACAACACCTTGCGGGACAGAGAAGGCGGCGTGCGAGCTGAAGTGCTTGTGGAATTTCCCAACTGATGCATCGGTTACAGGTGTAGACGACAACAATGGGAAGAATGTGCAAACAAGATTGGGGCTGAAGGTGAGCAAACAGCACTTGGATCACACGGGAAGTGAAGTCCCGCAAGAAAAGATTATGTCTCGCATCCCGTCACTGCATCAGTTCCTCGTTACTGTGCCCCACCACCACTCCCACACCCACTCCCACACCCATCCACACCCACACACACACATGAACACACACACACACACGAACACACACACACACACTCCCGTTATCGTCTCACCAAGCGAGTCGTCTGTTGCGCGCGGGAAATGGGATTCTTCGTCCAGCAGTGCCAGCAGACCCATTGGCCGGTTCAGAAACATGTCCTGACGTCGCGATGGTAATGGCGGTGGTGGTGGTGGTGGTGGTGACAGAAGTGAACGTGACGTGAGGAATGTGGCGTTGATTTAGTTTGATGCAGCTGGCACTTGCACAAAGACAAAACCCTCGCTGTAATACGCACACGTACACAGACACAGGTGTGCAAACACACATACACACATACACACATACACATACGCCCAGAGATGGTTGCTGTACGCACAAGGACGGGCTGGTTGTCGATGAATGCGACGTCTGTTGCGTCAACGTTTTCCCGGCGATATTCCTCCATCTCCATTTTGAAGATGTGCTTTGGGGGGGCGTGGCATTATGCAGGTGAACAATTGGAGCATGAGGACGTGAGATTGTGAGGGATGCAAGAATGAGACAGTTGCAGGCAAGAACACTAACACACACACACACACACACACAAACACAAGCAGACACACAAGCAGACACACAAGAACATACACACGCACACACACACACAAATATACACAAATATACACAAACACACATATACACAAACACACAATCGTACACAAATAGACACGTACCTGGTTGAAGAAGTGTTGCAGCTGCTCGTTTGCGAGATTGATGCAGAACTGCTCAAAGCTGTTCACATCAAAGTTCTCAAAGCCAAAAATGTCAAGAATGCCTGCAGGCAATGACCGCACATACAAGGCGCATGCGCGTATGCGCGCATGTGTGGTACGTGTGAGCGTGTGCGTGTAATGTGTGCATATGCGCTATGCATGTGTATGTGTGTGGTGTGTGTGTCTGATGCGTGCGAATCGTGCAATGCCGTCACCGTTCCGACGCAATCTCCACCAGCACCACCGATCAGCACCAACGGCAGCTGCACCACACCGATGATGAAGCGCTTGTCTGCTGACGGTGGTGCAAGGCGGCTGCGTTGCTCGGGCTGCGCCTGCACCCCGTCATCATCATCATCGTCGTCGTCGTCGTCGGCATGATCGTGGCATGATCGTGGCGGTGGTGACAGGTGATGTGGCAATGGTTGGTGAGATGGTGGTCAAGGTGGTGGTGGTGGATAAGTTTAGGGTGGCACAATGTTAATAATCAGCCCATGCTATGATAAGACAGTGCAGTGCGGACTGCAACAGGAGAAATAGCACCACACACACACACACACACACACACACACACACACACACACACACACACACACACACACACACACACACACACACACCACAACACCAACATCACACCATGCTCCCTTTCCCCTCCTCATCTCGTGTGGTGCGGGCATGACCTTTGCTGCCTGGCCCTCTGGGTCGAGAATGGCGTTGATGGAGGAGACGATCCAGGCGAACATGCGCCTGTACAGCTCTTTTGCAGCCGCATCTCGGCTGTCTGCTCACACCAACACCAACAGCACCAGCACCAGCACCAGCACCATTAGCACCAGTCGCAGCAGTGGCAGCAGTGGCAGTGGCAGTCATAACAAGCAGGGGTGGTAGTGGGGATGATGGTGGTAGTGAGGGATGGAGTGGGTATGAGCACATGTTGAAAGCAAGCCCACGTTGTGTTCCTCGCATATCAACGCAGACAGGCGCACACATGCGCACAGACACAGACGCATGAAAACAAAATGCACGTTGCTGGCACTGTGCCCGACCTTGTGCCTGCATGGTTGTGTATGGCTTGACAATTGCCTCTCCCCTGGTGATGGTGGTCGTGGTGAGCAAGGCAGACTGCAGCTTGGAAGCGTCAACACCAAGCAGCGACGACACGCGCGCACACACGGACGCAGAATCCGCTGCCAGCGACGCAGGGTCATGTTCCTCCTGGCATTTTGGTGGTAGTGACAGTGGTGATGTTGGTGGTGGTGGTGGTGGTGGTGGTGGTGGTGGTGGTGGTGGTGGTGGTGGTGGTGGTGGTGGTTGTTGTTGTTGAGGGCAAGGCGCAACGGGGTCAGCCACACAAGCCTCGCTACCACCATGATGATCAGAAATCAATCAACAAGCAGACAGAGACGAGCAGCTAGGGTGTGTGGGGGGAGGGGCATTGCAGACCGGAGCTGAGAATGCAATGCGGGAGAGGTGAAGGATGGCGGCGAGCACATCATGCAGCATCTCCATCTCCTGTGTGTGTGTGTGTGTGTGTGTGTGTGTGTGTGTGTGAGCGTGTGTGTGTGTGTGTGTCGTGTGTGTGTGTGTGTGTGTGTGTGTGTGTGTGTGTGTGCTAGATAGCGACCACTCTAACGAAAAAACAAAATGTCTCGCTAGCGTTTTGATATCTCCTTTGTGTATATACCTGTTTATTCCGACACAGTTCTCCGCAGAGAGGAAAAATAGTTTCCAACGACCCAAAAAAGAAAATACGACTCACATAGAAATTTTACTACCGCGCGCTGTGTATATATGCGGCGGTGCACTTCCTCTGACTGCTCGCCCCGAGAGCATCGTCTGGACGTCATGGTCTCGCCACGCGTCAGCACGCGACCATTTTTGATGCTTTTTTTTGATATTTTTTTTCTCTATATTTTTTTCTTGTAGTGTACTATCCAATGTGTTG